TTATTGATTTTCCAGTGTTCCACTTCCATGTCAGTTACTCGGAGTGTAAACCTGTATATACTGTAGACTGTAACTGATATTATATTAGTGAATTATTATGATTCTCAAGGCAATTATATTATGCGCTTTGTCACATCATTTGTACCCCCGGGCCTTCCCCCTTCATGTGCTTTGGGTGTGCTTTTTTGGTTTTGCATTGATCAGGTCCACAACGCAGCTTCTCGGATCATCACAGTGACTTGGCTGAAGGAGTGACTTCCACTGGAACATAGTTGGGGAACTTCTGCATGTTATGTTGGCGGGTGTGCTGATGGTGCGTGTGAACAGAGTAGGACAACTCCAAAAGTAAGACCTTTGCATTCCATATACTTTACTATATATGTGCGCGTTACATGATGTATCGTATCAATAATTCTATGTGTGTCAAGGGTGTACATGGCTTCAATCAACGGGAGATCAACCGTGACACGTCTGGCTTGTTGTGATTTGGCACGACAAGCCGATGAACAGCCCAGGTCAGAGTCCTGGACCAAGGCCGCGGACGGACGTCGGACGTTGTTTCACACGGGGAACGGGCGACGTGAGTCATTGGAGTATGCGAGCGAGTGTTCCAAAAGGCAAAAATCAGAAGGCAACCAGTCATTCATAGTCATAATGTGGTACCTTCAGTACGTGTTTCGAAGAAGAAGAAGGCTTTCCTCAGCGGCCCCAATTACTCACAGACACCGTCGTCTACGGTTGGACCGTCGCCCGCTTGACACCCTGCGAGGTCGAAATGTGGCGCTTCGAGCCTATGAGAAGGTCCAGGAGAGCGACGTCGTGTAGAGTGACGTGTTTCTTTTTCAGGTCAATGTGATGAGAGCATTTACTTTCTGTGTGTCCGATTCCCTGTAACAGTGGATGATGATGGTTAGGTTGCAGGCCAACATCTCTAAAATAGTGATGTTCTTGTGAAACCCGACTGATTGCATACCCCAATACAGATCAGAAATGCTCATGACATCCTGTTGTCTTCCTTGTTTGCCCTAAGAATCCTTGCTCCATGCCATGCCTTGAAACGTTTCCCATTTGAGGGACCGGATTCAGGAGGCCCATCCGATGGTCCGCTTGGTCTCGCAAGCTCTGGTCCGCGGCTTCAATTCGGTGGCTGGAAACACGTGGCAGGCACAGGGAATTGGAGTATGCTGGACATGAAGCATCCTTCTCGTGTTGCTATATCGTTATGTTCTTGAAGAACATGTTCGCAGATCCCAGGTGAGATCTGATTTGCGTGTACTGCACGCTTTTACACTGCTAGAATGAGAAGAACAAGGTCTGATCAACAGCAGTCCCATCCACCCAAATCCTATGGTTCTCGTGCTGCAGTCGATGCCTGGAGTGGCGATTGGCCCCGCGGACGTCGCACTTTTGCCCTTGCCGACCTCGCACGAGGTGCCGTGACCCGTCGATGGCGGGGGCCTGGTTGACATGTACAAAAACCATGTGAAGCCCCTGCAATTGAGTCGAGTGCAGATGTGCGGTGTTCTATCGTTTTTTGGTTTGAGTTCTTTTTTCGCATGTGCTGTCTAATTGAGTGCACAGCCACTCATTGTATATATAAGGACATATTGAAAGCAGATGGCACACTCTCCAAGTTCGGTGGTTTATATGGACCCCATTTAGCTGACATAGTGGGGTGATTTGAAGCACAGACCACCATGAAGACGTCCTCGACCAGAGGATTCCAGCTATGAAATCGAGTTTGCCTATGGCGTCTTGGACAATTCAGAACGCCCTTTGGGTCGCGTTCCCGCTCGTGCGGGAATGGCAGCCACTTGGCGTTTGCATCCATATGTCTACTTTTCGAATCTTTTTGGCCCTTCCTCTTCTCTCTTCATTCCTGAGAAAATGAAGTCATCAATGGCTCCATGTTGGGTGAGAGCACTGCTATTGTTGAGGATGGAACCATTGTCAATAACATTGAAGACTCAGGTGAGTTTCGTGCATTTAGATGACGAAATCCACGTTGACAACATTCCGCCAGAGGATATGCTTGTGACTGCAGATGAATTGCCAGAGGCTCCCAGCATCGGGTCTTTCGTGCCAGTATCCTCCTAGCCCCAAGCATGCAGGGAGGCTCGAACATACTCTGTCCAGTGTTTTGCTCAGGAGATTTTTACCATGAACATCCATGAACATATTAAGACAGAGATGCCCGACTCGGTCCATTTCAGGATCTCTTCCAGGATCTCGGAGGTCTGGGAACCACCCTTCCTTCGGCAGCCCGGAAATGCCACCGCCCCAACCGCCGCTTCCTCGGCGCGGGAGGCGAAGGTCGCCGACGTCGCCGCGGGCGAAGATGTCGCCGCGGGCGAAGACGAGGCCAGCCTTGGGACACGGATGGTGGATGGACGACATGGACAGCTTTCATGATGTGGTCCTCATTTTGATTTTTTGACAACTTTACCACATGTCCTTTTCTCGCTTTTGTATGCTTTTGGTTCCTTGCATCTATGGCACTACAGATTGGAAAAGGCATGATGCATGGACACAACATATGCTGGGCCCACTCCCCCCGAGCCGGCCCAGCATTTCTGCAGCATGATCCGTCCAGGCTACAGTAGCGGCTACAGGGGCAAAGGAAAGTACCAGTGCACTGGAGGAGCTCTGAAGTCTATGACTCATCACGAATCTTCTTTTAGTGACCATGCTCTTCCGATGACCAAAACAGGTGGTGAACTGCACTTGGATTATTATTTCAGTGAGTGACAGTGAGTGTAGTATTTGTGATCATGCTTCTGGAGCTTAGATTGAACCGCTCGAATGGCCCCACCCTTCGTTCCAAAGCAGACATGTTGCTGGCATGCTTTGCAAGATTCTCTGTCAGGAGCCAATGCTCAAGCCTCACATTTCCTACATCCGCGCAAGCAATAAGGATGCAGCGACTCGAATCAGAATCTGGACTCATCACAATAAGAACCCTCAATAACAACCTTGGATCAGTTTGATGAGATGCTCCGCACTTTGTGCAGGGTTCGCCAAACCAAGTCCCCCCGCCACAGCTGTTGTGGGTAGTGGATCGTAACAGACCGAAGCAGAACTGCTTCCCGCAATGGACATTCTCAACTGTCCTTTGATCAGTTTGTGGGAGCACTCTCTAATTTGTGGCCATGTCATCACGTTATCTCAGTGATGCCACACAGACGCATTATTAATATAATGATATATATATATATAACATGTTTTTTGTTTTTTGTTGTCACAGGCAGGAGGCCCCTTTTTCTTCATCGTGGGGCTTGTTGACTAAGGTGGACCTCACCTTGCGGTTCTTCCATTTGGGCTCTACCTTTCCAACGGTGTCCGGCGCAGGCTGCCTGGCGTGGATCATTTCCCAGGGTCACAGGATGGTCGTTTGCGGGTTTTGTTGGGTGCCGTTCTTTTCCTCGTGTCGTTCTTAGTGCCGTTTTGGGTAGAGGTTGCGTGAATGCTGTGCCGGAACCAATCGTTGAGTCATTTTGAGTCTTCGGTCTTCCTGCTTCGTGCCTCTCAGGAGCAGGGCACCTTGGCTCACATAGCGGTCTCACATAGCAGAGTGACTGATCATGAATGTTGCAACGGACAAGATTGCCAATGTTTTGCAAAGGCATTTGCATGCATGTTTATCATTTTGGGATTTTGACTTATGTTGATGAAGCACGTGTACACATATATTCACCCAACTGACAGAATCAGGTACCTGTATGTACCTGTTTATTTGGTGCAATAGACAAAATCAAGTGATTATGGAGATGTTCTCCGCTTTTTGGTGGTGGGTGTGGTCGGTCTGGTCTGTCGAGTTCGACGGCATCTTCAGGAATCTCCCACGGCTGTTCAGACCCGCCACCTTTGTGACATCCCTGGCGCCTGGAGAGATGTCCCTTGACTCCGTCGCCGAGATTTCATCGTGGACTCGTGACGTCGCCCATCCGTCGGAAGACTCGCAGATGCATGAGTCAAGGATGTTCAAATGAAGAATGGCGACTTCAATGACAACCACCAAGGGGTTTGCTTTGATTTATAGTAAACTCCTTGGCTCCGAGGCGGGACTTGGCTTTGGAAGTGGGAAGTCTCAAGCCTCGAGGCCGAGCAGTGTTGGGAGCATGTGATGTTCATAGGTCCAATGTAGGTCCCGTGTTTTTCCCCATGCCTTCCTGGTGCCAACGGTGAAATGTAGGTGAACTGAATTGAGAACTCTGAGAATTGAGCTACTGGTGGTGTTCGATGCCATCGATGCTGTCTAAAAAGAGCTTGGAGTTGTTGGAAGCTGCGTGATGTTCCGCTTCGCGGCCATCGTGTGCTTTGGAAGTGTGTGTTTTTTGTGTTTTGTTGGAATGCATGTAAGAATTGTAACAATGTTGCATGCCTCCTCGTGTGCGCGCAGAACATGAAGCTGACAATGAAGCGAGTGACAGAGCCACAGCTGCACAAGCTGAAGTTGTTTGAAACTTTGTAGAAAGAGGACTGCTTCACAACTTATCTCCAAAATACGAGTTTCCTTCATACTATATACATGTTGCCACAACTTGCCATTTGGTGTGAGGTGAATTCTTCGAAGTTGTTGCTGAGACTTCAAGCAGCAGCACAGACGCGGAGCTGCAAGTAGGTTTGGTAAGCCTTGGGTTGGAAGAAACGTAACATGGCCACCTGGTTAAATCCAGTCATATAAAAAGCAACATGTCAGGAAAGAAGGCTTGGTGTGTGGCAGCAAAGCTTTGGCGATGTGACAAGTCCTAGGTGTGTAATGTGCGCGATTTCCAGCAGATTTCATTCGAGGGGGGCCTCTAGCGCCTTCATTCGATTGAAGCCCTACGTTTGCAAAGCACGCCTGCTTTCGAGAGAATGCATGTCCGTGCCAAAAAGGATTGCGATGTGCATCGCAGGGCCCACCGTGTGGGCCACTGTGTGAAGATCCGGGGCCCAGTTCGATCGCAGATCCCGGATCGAAATTGGCCAGATCGCAAGTGTGAGTAGCAGCTTGTGAGGCCGTGGCCCCGTGGCAGCTATACTTCTTATTGACTTGAGCTTAGAGGGCCCAGTGCAATTTCACCCCCCGGCAGGAGCTGAAGACACACCAGCCCTTCAAGTTCTGCAACATGTCGTATGGAAGCTCATGTATGTACGCATGAATGCACACACAAACATGTGTATATCTATATATAGTTTGATTTGCTGTGGCGCTTTCCATTGGAACAGTCCTGCACCCAAGTCAATTCAGATAGAACCATTTAATGAAGTGAACAAAAAGGTGATTGCAGGAGGAAAGCTTTTGAAGCAATTGACCGGTGATCTCTTTGCATACATGTTTGAGGACTTCCATCATGCTTTAGGACCCGTCATCGAGCTTGAGCCTCAGTGGCCTAGTTAGAACACGCGCAAACTTAGCTCGCAGCTTGAGCGTCAGTGGCACATCAAGAACATCCCACCTGGTCGTTGGCATGTTCATTCGACCTCCAGAACCTTGCTAGCCATTTCCAACGTCAAGGAGCTTGGAGCCATGACCAGGGCTTGACAGCCAAGTTGACAGCTCCAGGCTCCCAGTGGCAGTTGATCCTGAGTTTTGGGGCTGAAGATTCGACCATGGAGCGTCCTTTGGAGATGCACGATGGCAGGGAACTCAGCGAGGAGCGTCATTTTTGCCTCCAGAGGGTCCGCTGCTGTTGCTGCACTCCTCCCCGATGGGCACGCGTCCCCATTTGCTTGGTGATCTTCTATGTAGTTTTGATGCCTTTCATTTATCTCTTGGGTCACTTCCTTGTATATCCGGGAGATGACTATGCTCCCGAAAAGCTAGACTTCTTAGGCTATTCCTGTCGATTGTTCAACTTCACTGGTCGCTACGGAGACGTCGTGGCCGAAAAGTGTTCAATGGATTCAGCACTGGGATCTCCAGTGCCGGTCTTGGCCTTCGGCGGCAATGGCATGAACATGTTCGACACTGCTGAATCTGTGATAGACTTCTTTCCGAAGAATCCGCAAGCGGACGTGGCTTGGGAGGTGTATTCTTTGTCCTTCCCTGGGTTTCAGTATGCACCGCGCAGTGGCTGGACCACTGAAGGTAGAACTGAAGCTGATGCGATGGATTTGTTGCACCACCTCAGTTCGGTCAAAGACCAGAAGGTGGTGGTTTTTGGCTGGTCCTTGGGCACCTCTGTCGCTGCTGCTTTGGCCAGCCGGCAAGCGGACCAAGTGCAGTGTGTGCTTCTGGGCAATCCATTCACCAGCATACGGGATGTAGCACTCGCCTGGACCTATGGCATTGCAGGCCTTTATTTGTATTTGCTGGACGAGTGGCCTACCAAACGTTTCGCACAGAACTTCAAGTCGCCCACGATTGTGATGTCGTCAATGGAGGACGAAGTCGTCCCTTTGTGGATGCACCGTGAAGTCTTCCAACAAGTTCCTGTTCAGAAGAAGAAGCTGGCCGAGCTTCACGCAGGACACATGGACATTGGATTTTTCCGGGCCGACACAGAAGAGGCCATCCACCAATGGTGTGTGCCAAGCGCCCTGGCCCGCATGGTGTGAAAAGGGCACGCAGTGATACGCAGTGTGCAGCAAGCATGGAAGGACAATTGGAATTGCAGCCGACGGAACGATTCGGCAATGTGATTGTGGAATCATGTAACAAACTGTAGGATTTTTCAATATGTTTCATACATCATCGTTGATTTTGTAGCCAGCCTTATGATTTTGATAATTCGTTCAATCGTGAAGCACCACCAGGTGGGCTCATCCCAAATCCGTCAGGAACTGAGCGGTGTCGTCCGTCAGACGGCATGGTTCTTTCTGCAAAAGGTCCGACCAATCTTGTAGCTTCTATAAATAAGAACATGTTGCTTGTCGTTTGATCTTCTATGTCAATCTGTTTTGGACAAGGTCTTAGAGAATTTCTGCAAAGAAGACCAGTTGGATGATGGGAGAGTTTCTCATCCTTTCATATCGCCTATAGACTATAGAAGACCTCTTTCGAAATCCCATAGAAATCGAGGAGTTTCTCCCGGAAAGATCGCCTAAAGAAGACCGCTTTCGAGAGGAGCGTTGTTGCTGAGGTTCTGGAGGAGTCCTCAAGCCACTCGGTCTTTCGACGTCGAGACAGCCAGTCATCGGATCAGACGTTGCCCATTCGAACATTCAATTTCAATCATATAGAATATTATAGAACTATATAGAACTAGACTAGGTAGAACTAATGGATACAGGCAAAAGCCTGGGACTACGGAAGAAGGGTTGGGGTACGACTTAGGCAAATCTGGCTTTCCTTTAGCCAAATTTAGGTCCATCAAAAGGCTACGGTGTGACTGAACAGTGCATACCCTGCCGAAAAAAATGTGTGGATACCTGGACCATCAGGTAGTGCCGAAACCTGCGAGGAGCGCGGACGAACGGAGGGAAGAGAGAGCATCGTCCCAAAGAACGGGCTTTTGGGCATAGAAACATTCCCAGGCCATCCTTGAGATTGGAATAACAGCCATTGCGACATCGCGCGCGTCTGGTGTTCGTACCGGTCTGGGATTGTTGCTTGTTTTGGTTCCAATCGTAGGCACGGTGATGTTTCATGCCTACGAACAAATACACAGCGATACCCTCCACAGAACATGCCATGATGTGCCATGCAGTATCCTCAGAAATACATGCTTGGAATGAGTCTGTCTGGCCAACTCTGAAGGTGCCGGGCTCAAGAGGTGCCGCGCCCAGATCATCGCATTGATTCAGCGAAGCCACCCGATGTTGCACCATTGCTGTGAGACTCGAGAGCGGATCAACGAGCGCCCAGCTGTCGCCCCTGGGCGCGCAAAACGGAGCCTGTTCAACCTGACAGGTTGACCTTTCGAGGTGGGTCCAAAAAGGCATCCTGGTTTTGACCCCAGCCATAGATATAGAACGTGCATGGGGCAACACCGGCTAAAACAAGCTTCTACCATTTTGATCCATTTTGTAGTTGACAGTCATGTTGCAGTGGTTCTGATGTGTTTTTTTGCATAAATATAATTTGCATGCAACACTAATTAGGGCATTCGCGACCTTAGGCCATGACATTCACAAATGTTTGGATGAGATTTGGACTTGAAGTGGCAGCCAGTCGAAACACGTCAAATCGTTTTCTCAAAATTCTAAATTCCAGGATGCTGACAGATCTGACAATCGTTCGCTCAAGATTCAACTAGCGACAAACTCAGGATTCTGACAATCTCAAAGCTCAATTTGCTGAAGAGTGGCACCGGATCCAAGCGGGCTTCACAGCAGCGCATCGAGAGCACCTGCTGGCAACAAATGCAACTGGGCTTAAGCTGGGCCAGCTAGCTGATTTCGAAAAGAGCGTAGGGGATTTGACACTGCGATGCAGTGGGCGGCTTGTGTTGGCAAAGCTTTCACGACAGAGCTTAAGTATGATAGAACCAGACACTCAGCCATAGATGTGAAGTGATGACGAGGGATGGCCTGCAAGGCCTAAGAGACTACAATGCCTGAATGTTGAAGGGTGTGCGTGTGTGTGTGTGTGTGTGTGTGTTTGTGTTTCAGTTTTATAATGGTTCCCTTCAGTTCTGAAAACATGAGCTGTTTCGGTTCCACTGTTCAGCGGCAATGTGCAGGAGTTGATCAACAAGATGCTCCGGCAGGGCGCGGGTGCTTCGCTTGTAAAGGAGACATCTGATTCGCCATCACCAGGGTACAGCCAGGGCGATCAGAGTACAATGAACGACTCTAATCAGAATGACGACAATTCAAAACAGGACGGCTTGGTGCCAGAAGGCGTTTCCTTGCAAGTCCCATCACGTGTTTTCAATGATGATGAGTTGAACTCACAAGCTCTGAGACGCGGAATGGAAAGCTTTATTGAGAGAGGCCCCTTGTTTGAAGGCTTAGAGCCACGCCGGGGCATGTCCAAAAAGCGGCGGCGCTTGTCTGCCAGGGAGAAGTTAATCTCAGGAGCGAGTACCATGATGCATGTGGCTAAAGAGATGACGGATCCACATGGCCTTGGATCATTGATCAACCAGTTGCCGTGTGGAAAGCGGTGTGCTCGGAAGTTCTTGGGTTGTGTGGAACACCTGGAGTCATTGCATGAGCCACCACGCACTGGCTGCCTAGCACGGATCATCAGCTCTACCTTTTTCAATATCTTGGTGGTTTGTGTCATTCTGGCCAACACTGCTGTAACCATCTATGAGGCGGACACCTCCATCCGAGCGCATAGTATAGACACAGGAATCAGATGGCTTAGCTATGCCGAGCTGGTCTTCAGTGGCTTCTATGTGGTCGAATTCTTGCTGAAGCTCTTAGTGCCTTGCCTGGTTTTCAGAAAACATGTGAGTACTTCATTGAGGAGTATTCAAAGTCAAGTTTTGACTAAAGCCTTGGCTACCGTAAGACGGAAAGCTACCTTGATCAGATTTGGACTCAACCCATGCATTACATGCATTTTTTTTGCTGCGTCACTCATGTGCCGCTATGTGCTGCTCGTAGCCAGGTTCACCGGTTGTTCTACTTCTGGTGTCCTGAATGGAGATGGAATGTCTTTGATGCCTTGCTCGCGACCTTGTCAGCTGTCAGTGCAGTGACCTACCTCATAGAAGCCGCCAATGGCGCCAATATGGGCTTCCTGCGCTCGTTCCGGTTCATCAAGGACCCAAACGACCAACCCTAAACAACTTTTGGTAAAACACTGTGGGGTACAAACATAACGACATTTTGCAGCACCCCAGAATGTGTCGTCCGCGCTGGCTCTTCCGGATGCGGTCGGGCGTGGTCCGCTTCGCTTGGTCCCCCCTCCAGGTGTCTCGAATCCTTCGTGGACTTCGAGTGATTTCCTTTGTCCGGCAGCTTCGCATCTCGCTGTGATCAAATCCGCAGATTTGAATTGTTTTGTTTGTTACACTTCTGTAAGATTGTGATGTTTGCTTTATTCTCGCACAACTTTGTTTCATGGTTTGTAGACTTGTTTGTGTATTGTATGATATGGATTGATATGGTATGCTTGTATGCTGTATTCACCGTGGGCAATCTTCCAAAAACTCGGGGTTGTACTTCTGCAAGGGAGCAAGTTACGAACGGACGAGACTCTCAGGTATCATGGTCTCCTCAATCGTTGGATCGGCGATGGCCTTGTTCTGGAGCCTGTTGGTCTCTTGGAAGATTTCCTGGGCCAAGAATGGTCAAGATATGTCAAGATAGAATTCGGAGAGTTGAGTGGCTTGAGAACTTTTTCGGCTCAGTGAAGCAGCATCTTGAGCTTCGGAGCTCTCGGGTTGAGGCTCGGCTGGACTGTGCCGAAAACTGAGGTTCTTTTGATCGTTGAAGTGGTGTTCTCAATCCTGTTCGTGCAGCTGGTGACCAACTTCCTGGTGTGCTGGATGCAGTTGGTCCAGTCTGTGGGTTTATCATGGTTTATCCATTGTACATGGTTGCAGTGGAGATATGTATATGTGTCGTACATACACGGAAGATAATGGAAGATCAGCATAGAACCCGACAAAAGACGATGTTCCGAACTAAACCCCGTGTTTTTTTTTCAGGTTCCATGTAAGTCTCTTCCAGAGCGCATAGTCTGGGGCGTAGGTGGCCAGGACATCAGACATGCGAACTTTTGACTCTTGACATCAGAGCGTATAGCTACGTAGGGATCGCTCGAAAAGGCTGTACCGCTGGAGAACATCCACATGAGCTGCAGGATACAACTTAGTCTCCAAGTGAAGAAAGGAGTTGGATGATATGCGATGGTGTTCAAACCACATGCAGTGCGTGAGAATCAAACTTCAGACACGTTCAACTTTGCACACCACTTTGCACACTGAGGCAGACGTAGAGACTGGAAGTACACCTGCAGCCGAACGATTGGAAGTGCCTTTGCGTCACCCATCACCCATCACCCGACCTGGTACCGCTCGGGTCCGGTCGCCCGTCGCCCAAGGCGTGGTTCCCTTCGGTGGCCGGAACCATGATTTCCTTATTCGGTTCAACGACGGGTGGGATCGATTGGATGGGCATCTACCATGATTTGGAGCCCCTGGGGAGGTTTGCACAATCGGAAGCTTGGCGCATTTGCATGTATTGTATTTGGAGTAGCTGAGCAGCTCCAATGTGAGACAAACACTGTCCAGACAGCCATTTGTTTGCCATGATCCAACTTCCTGCCCCACTGTGAGCACACGAGGCTTTCCTCTTTTACATCGCATTTTTCACCATCGCAGTCTTCAACATCTTGACTGGCATCTTCGTCGAGAAGGCGCTTCACATGTCCGACCAAGCAGACCGGGCGGTGGAGTATATGAAACAGGAGCGCGAAGATGCACAGGACCTCCGGCAAATTTGTAATCGAATTGACTGCGATGGAAATGGGCGGATTGCGTGGCCAGAGTTTGAAGCGTCTCTTGGGCTGGATTGCGGGGCCGGCCGAACAGACGACGGGATTGGCGTGTTTGACTCGTACACGCACGGCACGCACGGCACCCATTGGTGTCACTTCAGACTTCAACTCATAATTGGTTTCTAAACATGTGGATTGATGCAGGTGCATACTCTTTCTGCCTTGCAATGAATATTTGCGTGCGAGTGAAGCTGACAAGTTCACTTTGAAACAGTTCGGGATCGTTATGTATAGCATTACTATGCATTACTGCATGCATTCATATGTATAATATATATATATATATTATAATATTTGTATGTACGTATTTATGTGACTCAAAGGTAGTGCGCAATGGTAGCGTGCGGGTTCTTCGCAGCCATGTTTCAAAGTCATCAAAGGAACTGACATTTTTTAACAGTATGTTGATCCTTTTTGAAGCTTGAGATTCATTCGGCGCAAAAACACACTATACTATGGATAACAATAAGTTATGTGGTAAATTCATTCATCAGATGTCAGGAGTCAGGAAGCTGAGAATGTGAAGACCAATAGTATTGATTCTTTGCTTTGGATTGTTGGATCAATATTCAATGTGGTCCAGAAAGTGTGATAAAACGAATCGAGTGCGGAACAGTCGTGCAGGCTAGTCGCCACGCATTTAAAAATTGTATCCTTCATTGTGTCATGACTAAAAGCTTTTCCCGTTTCCCTAGTTATGTACTTGAGGATGACATTAGGATGATAGGATAGATTTCATGCTGTCCGTGCGATGCTCGCTGCATCAACGCTTTGATACTCTTGCCCACGTTGCATGATTGAGTAGGTGCCCGCCGTAGTCAGTCAGGAGTCCCACTACAGTGCCCACGCTTTGGTCAGCCCCCCTTGCCGAAGCCAAGGTACATGCAACACAACAACGATGGTTTCGCGCGCCTCAAGGTGCGAAGAGTCGCTATTTGACCGGTGAGGGCGGTCGGGGGCCGACCTGGTGGATAGGAGAGTGGAGTACCGCCCCCCCTTCCTCTTACCAATATATATTGCACCAGAGATTTTGTCCACGTGATCGAGTGATCCAAGCAATTGTTTCTCTTGATCAATGGTATTGGGTTAGAGGCCATCAGTGTTAGGCCATTTTGATGTGCTGTGCTTTAGCACGAGTTGGTCAGGGCAGCCCACCTTCCCCTGTCTTCCCCTCATTGCTTTTTTCTCGGGGGCCCAGAATTGCTTTGGGTCGGGTCTATTTCTTCCAAACATTTGTCTATTTGTTGAGGTATTGTAAATGGTGAAGCCTGGCGAAGATCCGCTTTGGCAAGAGATTGTCCCATGTCCTAGAGGGCATGATTTGATTCAGAGTAGACGGGACTGGCACCCCAAGATGTCTTGAACAGATGGGGGTCTATATTAACCACCAAACTTGGGGTAACTTGTGTGATGTACTCTCCATCAGTCACAAAAGCTATATTAATCACTAGTTTTCTAAAATCATTAACACCAACTCTAAAGTTATATCTATTAGTAGTTATTGATTTGAGTAGATATGTTTCTTGTTGATCCAAAAAGCATAACAATCTCATCTTTGCAAGCCACATCGCCTTGTTCACCGGCCGGCCTCGTGAACCAACCGCTCGAAGGCCTGCGGCTTGGACGTTCACGATGTTCACGAGTTCTTTGTGAGCCTGACCAGCGGGCAGCCGGCCGAGACCGTAGAGATTGAAGACTTTATCCACCATGCCATGAGGCGACCAGGGCGGGAACACGGACGAAACTCGGACGAACACGGACGGACAGGGCGCAAACCGAATTCCCCAAAACATGTAGGTTGCCATGCATGGTGGAGGCTTCTCAGGTTGTGCAGGTCAGCACTGCGTCAGGATGCGTCAGGTAGGTCTTCGTGTCATCTGAGAGAGGTATTCTCCTCGTTCCACGCGACCAGGCTGCGGGGGACCGCGACCAGTATACAAGTGAAATCCATCGCATCTCAGATGATGCGTGTGCAGTCCGAGGCGCAGCCCGATCTCGCGGGTGATTGTTGGGGCCCGTTACGGGCTTCTCACAAGCTCCCAAGATTGGCCAGTGTGATTACCCCCCTAATGAAACAATCCGATATTCAAAGGCACGTCAAGAGTCAAGAATGAACCTAGAAACGTCAGCAGGCGTGAACCTGTATAGCATTTTGATATTACTTTCACTAAAGGGGTTTGCTTCCCTTCAAATGGCTTCCCTTCAAAGGGCATGTTGATTGCATGTCAATTTCTCGGAAGCTTCGAGTGGATCCTGGTACAACTTGAAGACTCTCAGGCACTTTAATCAGTTTGCACAACACGTTGCAATTCCTTGCGTCGAAAGCTCTTCGGGAAGTGGCATCGGTTTTCACTATTCCATGCTGTTTGATAGTTTTTGAGGACACGCAACATGCACATATTCCAGCTATTCGTTCGTATGTCGCTGAAGGATGCAAGAGATGATGTAAGCATAAGCCAGCATAAGCTATGGTAGCCCGTAAGCTATGGGTCCTCCACGCATCTGCAAAATATGGAGAAACAGGATGAAACATAGAAACTGTCTGAGTGTGCGCACATTGTATGACACCAACTGTTGATGCATAAGACATCTTAAAGATTGTGTACAAGTATGGTCTTTGGGGGTTGAGCACCTCCAGATCTGAGCGGCAAAGGCTTCGGCAGAGGCTTTAAAGGTACCTCCCCCGACTTGGTGATCTGGAATGCCAACCAAAACCTTTGCCTGCACAAGATTCACACCATTTGCCATGCACTTCAAGTTGATGCACAGATTCGAGGGTCCTGTTTTGCTGATTCGTGCAACAAAGACTCACACACGGAGGCTTCCACAGCATGGGGGGCTTGAGCCATTCAACATATTCAATGCTGCAGCCATTCGATGCTGTTTTGACACCACAGAGTTTCGCTGCAGGGCACTGATGTGTTGTCCGTGTTTCTGTCCGCGAGTGGGTCTTTGGATGTACGGATGTGATTGGAATGTACGGTTGTGAATGCGACATGTATATTGTTCGAAGATGTCCAAGGTTGAAGGCGATAGCACCGCACATGCACAGACACTATGAGCACTTCGAGTTTCACACTTCCTGTGGCAAGCCCAAGCCCCGACAAAATGGCCTTTTGTAAAGGTGTTTGTGGTTGTCACTTCGCAAGTTAGTTGTGTCACGTCCAGAGATACAGCCGTGAACAGATAAAGGTGGACGATGCTAATGAATTATACGCGTTGAATCTAGAGCAGAACTCCCAATTTCAATTTGAATACATTCTGATACATTCTGATAGTAGCACCTGTGGACAAAACGTCGTTTCGTCTTGTAGCAGTGAGCACTAGGAAGCCTGCAGCGGCCAGGCACAGGAAGCAATGATGTGGAAAGTTGACATGATGACACATCAGCTCTACAAGGCTTTAGCATCCATCAAGGCGGATGTCAAACCCAAGCGGACGCTGAGCAGCAACATGGAAGCTTGCAGCTTTTAGATTCGAGATGATTCAAGACTGCCTTTGTGATCGCTGCAAATTAAACGGAAAGAGTTCCGGCACATGATATCTGGTGTAGTTCGGGCCACATGAAATCGCCCGCTCACCTCCAAAAACGACTCGTTGGCCGAATGCCTTTTTTGGGGTCGTGGTGTGCTTGTTGCATGGCGTGGCGTGGCCATGGAATGGCCTTAATGTTGTACAGGGAGCAAGGTGAGACTTCGCTTTGCTCGAATGTTGGGCCGAGAATTGACTGCTTTCGCGCTATTGAACAGTTGTTTAGAGCGGAGGAGTGTGTGTTTTGAAGCATATGTCGAACCTTGGTTGAGCAGGCTTTTCATCATTGCATTCAATATATCCTTATGATAACTTATGATTCTTAATCATGTCATTATATATATATATAAAACATACCCCTCCACATGCTCCTCCGCTCTGGCATTATCTTGTGCAGGTGGAATCGCAAAGCGACTCTCACCGGAGTAATACCGCCAAGGATGCATAAATCTCCATCCAAACACCTTTTCAAGGTTCTGGTTAGAAAAAATGCGTGTCTCCATTTAGTTCACGTATCGTTGCACGGATATTTAATTTTACTATATAAGTTAGTCAACACATGTTAACACCTGAAAAGCACCTGGTTCAAGAGGAAATGAGTCGACACCAGTGGTCCATGTTGAAATCGCTTCTATGTTCTTCCTGGTCGCGGGTGAAGCTGTCATCTTTGATCGGAGAAGATGCTGGAAGATGTGGTCGCATGTGATTGGACAAACGTCGCAGGACTTTCCAGCTCTTGATCCTTGGCGTGCCATCAAGGCAGATGGGAGCCCAGCAGTGTCCAAGGCGGGGCGACGACGTCCCCCGAGAGAACGAGAGAATGCAGCGGTGTCCAAGGCCGACGATGGTTTCGCAAGCGGAGTCGGATCCAGCAAGCTGTGGTTTGGCAGGTGCTGCATGTGGTGGCTTCACTGGCGCTACCAGATGCTGCACACAGAGAAAAAGAAGGTCTCAAACTCGAAGACCTATGAATTGCCGGTACAGACTTATGACCAATTCAACTACTGCAGCCAGGGGGCATCAAGAAAGGCCAAACGTTGCTGATAGAAGTTAACACAGTTAACACACTCTTTTTTGACAAATTGTGCAGTGAACAAGTCACATGTTGAACTATTGATGTTGTCAGGACTGCATATCAGCTTGTTGAAGTGATCGCCTGATCAAGAGCGAAGTTTCAAGAAATATTATGAAATATTATAAACATATAAAAATGATGAAATGAAATCTATATATATATATATGGTACATGCACTTCCCAGCTTTACGTCATTTCACAGTTTGGACCCACCACTGGGCGCCCCATGTGTCCGTGTTCCAACCTTTGTGCCCGTCGATGCGCGAGGACAGACGTCATCGGTCTTTTTCCTGGTTCCTTGCGGCGGGAAGCCCCAGCGGTTCGAACCACACCGGGGACCGGGTCGAACGCGTCCGAGACACTCGGACGCGTCTTGACCCAAAGGTCGACATACTGTTGCGACATGTTACGGCTACACAAACAAATTGACAGCACTATGCAGATGTTTTGCAGAAGCACCACATGCTGACAATCCTGGATGCGGCGTGGCATGGCCGGGCGCCACTTCTCAGGAAACGGTCAGCTCCTGCATGGAGTAAGCTGTCACCGCCGTGCCAGGTCCCGAGTGGAAAAAGCGGAAGCTCAGCACGTAGTGGATGCGATGTCTTGGCTGTAAGAAGTTCTCCAAAGCGGAAGAACCTCACGACTGTATATATATATATATTAATATATACTAACCAATAGGCCCAAAAAGAGTGCCCTAAGGTTGACACTGTGTTCAGAGAGTCCCAATGTTCCCTAGGTGGAAGCAGCTGAGCTACTGCACAGAGATGCTAGTGTGGCTTGGTTTCAGACTGCTTTGTGCGGATAAAGCCTTGAAGTTGAAAAGACCCTGGCCTGAACCGTCCGCCATGAGCTGTAGCTGTGGCCCTATTGGGTGTTCATTCAGCTTTATTCATATCATTGTACAAACATGTTTTCACAACCTCCCCTGTACCACATGTTTTCAGCGGTACCCAAGAGAAAGGAGAGGTGGGACTGCCCATCTTGGCATTGCCCCAAATAGCCTGGAGATTCTGCCTCCGAACAAGCAAAAAGGAGCCATCTTTGCCCCAAGAGATCAAGAGCAATCCGATCATCAGACGGAATGAACACTGATCATCACAACCAATCACAACCAATCTGCATGCGAAGAAGCGCCAGGGGTGCTGCGCCTGCAGGTCTCCAGAGGTGCTGTGCAAAAAGCCGTGTGCGTCCTACTTCGTGGTCCTTTTTTCGGGCTCGTCCAGCAGCGGCTCAGCCCTGTCACACAGGTGCGCTTCTCCGTGACTCGTGACACGGGGGCGGTTCGTGGTCCGAACTGGGAGTGTGGCAGTATAGTCAACGAACAGATCCAGTATGATCCAGTTGTTACAGTGGTTTCCAGAGTTTTTTTGGGGCACCATCCCCAAGTTCGGTGGTCTATATATATGATATGGACCCCCAATTTGTTCATCTTGGGGGTCTGTGCGAGGCGAGTCTGTGCCATTGACGAAACCACATATAAGTGCTTTGCAGTGGCAAGCTTCCTTCAAGGACTCGGTCGGACTGGGTGATGAAAACTGAAAATCACCTGCCCACACATGCCCACACTCAAAATCCTCAAATGTCCTGTCTCCAACTCTGGTACCCTGACAAGTTAAATGCAGCTAGCTAGCAAGGGCTAGTGTTTAAGCCATGTTGATACATGTTGATACTAGAGTCTCGGATCTAGAATGCTCTCAAAGAGTCACATGATCCTCGAGGGGACGCTATAAAATAGGGAGCTCGAGGTCCAAAACCCCAAAACATGTGGCCCAACCCCTACCCGCCCGTAAGGGAGATCCCAAGGGGACCTAAAGCGTTCCGAACTTTCACATGGCGCCTTGGGTGGCAAAGACTCTCCGCGCTCCAGGTGTTCTTTGAACAACGTGATTTTCGGTGTACAGATCTACTGCGCGACTTCGATGCCCAGCATCCTGGATGCAGAGACACTTCTGAGGACAGCATGCATAGATACGCATTGCCTTTAACTTTGTGGGTGTTATGATCAGACTTTGCGGCTTGTTGTGGGGCGTTGTAGCAGCTAGTACTTGTGAGTCAGAGCATTTCATTGCGCAAATTTGTATCCTGACAGCTTCAATCTTCGGTGGTTCGAGTCGATACAAGCTTCGTTGCCACGACGCCGTGCTGACTGAGGTTAGACTCCGTGCCGTTTGAAAAGCTTCCGGCCGCTCGGCCGAGTTGCCGTGCGGTCGGGTTCGCTTCTAGAGCAACTATTTTGGGGCCATGGCTAGAGCAACTATTTTGCTAGGTTCTTGCCACTGTACCCAGTGCAATGCTCATGATGGGGTCGATTCAATCAAAACATCATGTCTTTTGAATGGTCGCCTGGATTCAACCATGAATCACTTGTAAGGAGACTGACCTCTTCTTTGGGATTGATCACTCGCGGCTCTTCCTTGCTTTGCAGCACAAGCTCTTGAGCGTTTTAAAAGCGATCATGCTGGAGGCAAAGGTCCTCGCACAGCCCTCAGTCGTGGAGGTGCCAAAAACACGGAAACAATTTGATATATGAATTATGAGATGATACTAGCGACCAGCCTTTTGAGATCTGTCCGGGAAATGGAGAAGCAGAAATTGTTCACAAAAGAAATTGCTAATCTTGCTTACCAGGACCCTCCTGTCGGGGTGTCTATTCATAGCCCCTTAGCTGTTAAGGGGTGTCCATTAACCTGCCAAGAAATCCCAGGTGATTTCCGACAGTCCAGAGCAGTGCAGTCGCGCCGTTTTGGCCATCCTCTCACTACTTCCGGGTGGGCTTTGGTTGGGCTTCAACTCGGATGGCTTCGGCGAACGACATTTCCAGCCACTTGCTTAGCCGATGTCCGTACCGAAGTCATTGGAGTCATTGGAGTCGTGTACTTTCAATAGTTCGGCCAGATGAGTTTGGGATCCGGTTTGGGCCTTTTGGCGAAATAGACTTTCAGCCCAAGGTATCAGAAGCATGGTTTTCCCATCCAGTGCTTTGGACCCCGTTGCTGCGCTGGGATCCCAAGCGTTTGCTTATTGATCTTGTTGAATATGGTTTTGTTTGTATGCTCACCATGGTCATATCATGCCGATTTCTCATGGCATAGACCAGATATCACGAGGTGTATCCTTATCTGGGCTTGCAGATGCTAGACAGCTTGCTGCAAATGCGCGGCTTCTTGATTGGAACGACCAATCGGATTTTCCTGGAGCGCACCAGCCCACACGTCGTCCTGGAGGCCAAAGCACTATAAGTGATATTAGTGATAGACGATTGCATCGAAACCTACTGCAATGGCAATGGCCTCCAACCTAATAGCGATGGTCCAACCTAATAGTGATGGCCTCCAACCTAAAAGCGATGGCCTCCAGCCTAATAGCAATGGCCTCCAACCTAGTAGCAATGGCCTCCAACCCAAGAGCAATGGCCTTCAACCCAATAGGAATGGCCTCCAACCTAATACTCGTAGCGATTAATACCGATGGCCTCCAACCCAATACCAATGGCCTCCAACCTAATAGCGATGGCCTCCAGCCTAATGGCAACGGCCTCCAACCTAGTAGCAATGGCCTCCAACCCAATAGCAATGGCCTCCAACCTAATAGCGATGGCCTCCTAATAGCAACGGCCTCCAACCTAGTAGCAATTGCCTCCAACCTATTAGCAATGGCCTCCAGCCTAATAACAATGGCCTCCAACCTAATAGCAATGGCCTCTAACCTAATCGCAATGGCCTTCAACCTAATAGCAATGGCCTCCAACCTGATGGCATTGGCCGCCAACCAAACGGCCATGGCCTCCGACCTAGTAGCGATGGCCTCCAGCCTAGTAGTGATGGCCTCCGACACCCTCCAACCTAATCGCAATGGCCTCCAACCTACTAGCGATGGCTATCAACCTAATGGCAATGGCCTCCAATAGTGATGGCCTCCAACCTAATAGCGATGGCCTCCAGCCTAATAGCAATGGCCTCCAACCTAGTCGCAATTGCCTCCAACCTGA